GTTACAGCCCCCCCCCCCCCCCCCCCCCCCCCCCCCCCCCGCCCCCCCCCCCCCCCCCCCCCCCCCCACCCCCCCCCCCCCCCCCCCCCCCCCCTCAACATGGTACCTCATATATAATAAGGCATATTGCTTTATGTTATACATCGTTTACCTGCGGGCCAATCTGCCTCTCGTTGGCCTTCGGTAGGTGACGTCAGCGCTATAGTGTGTGGGTGTCTGTATGTGTGTTGTGTAGGCGTTGTAAGAAGAGAGTAGGGGGACGTAGGCGTGGTAAATAGGGGGGGGAGGAGAGGGCGAATCGTGTATGCGCACCGGGCGCTTTGGTGTGTTTGTGTGTGTTCGTGTGTGTGTGTGCCTGTGTGTGTGGTTGTTGTTGTTGGTTGTTGTTGTAAGAAGAGAGTAGGGGGAGAAGTGAGAGCCTATCGTTCAGCCGTGTGCGTGCGGTAAAGGGGGGGGGGGGGGGGGAGGAGAGGGCCCAATTGTGTATGCGCACCGGGCGCTTTGGTCGCTTGCTCATCGTTCAGCGGCTTTCTTTTGCCTGAGGTGTTGGCTGAGTACATGCGATTCGTCGGAGTGTCCCATGCCAGGCACGTAGCCAGGATTTAGTTTCGGGGGGGGGGGGGGGGGGGGGGCCCTCATGACAAAATGCTGTATGAGGGGGAGGGGGAGAGGAGGTCCCAGCAAAACGGAAGATTTCGGGGGGGGAGCCCGGGCCCCATGGGCCTCCCTCTGGCTACGTGCCTGTCCCATGCATACGCGTCCACATGCAAGTAAACGCGACCACCAACTCGAACATTTGCGCGCAAAGTGCCGGTCAGGCCGGTGAACACAACGGTGGCGCCACCTCTAAACCGGAACGAAAACTACGTTCGGTCTTTTGTTTTGTTTCCTGGTTTCGGTTTGAACGGTTGCGGGTTTTGTGCAACTGCGCGACACAACGCAAACATAAAAGCGCCGCTTCTTCTTCTTTTTTTTTTTTTTTTACACTTTATTAAGGCACGGTGTTATTAACAAGCACGCCAATTTACCCGTAGGTTGGAACCCTGAAGGAGCACCCATTCAATTCTAGGAAAGCGGTTCACCATCACGATTGAAAACTGGCTTTAGATATAGGCAGTCTGAAACCTTTCTTACTAAATGTAACCGCAGATAATAAACACACAAAAACAAAACAAAAAACGCAGTTTTGATGATTGTTAAGACGTCAAAGTATTCTTTAAATAAAAACATGAACGCGCGGTGGCTGAGAGTAAAACCAACGTTAGTAGCGGATCTTCAACGTACTACGCCAAAAACCGCGGAGAGTACTCGACCAGATACGCCGTAACTTTCGGCCAAAATAATTCTATATAAAAAAAAAAAAAAAAATTAGTACATACATGCATTTATGTTTTTTCTAAATTAAATAATTTAGTTCAAAGTTATGGCACACTATGTACAATTTGGCTAATGTATCGACCTCCGATCGTTCGGCGGAAAGAGTGACCACGATGATTAATGCGGGGAAGTAGAGGATTTTTTTTTTATCAAGTACAAAATACCCTCTTCCCTCCCCCCTCCCACCGAATAATAAGCACATCCATTGGTGATGCGGCAATACACAGAGCTTGAGCTTTTTGGAGCTTATTTTTGATGAAACATAAGCTATTTTTCAGGCGTAATTTCTCCCATAAGTGCGGTGCGGCATTTCCAGGCGGCTATACATGTTGGATACCCCATGGTCTCAAATTCGGCGTACCAACATCGCCCATAACAATTCGAATGAGCACCAATTACATGTTTTACTTATGACGCGCATTTTCGAGGCATTTTCAGGGACAACAGAATACAAAACTAGAAAGGCTTGTTTTAGTTTGTACAAGGAAACGCGTTTGAGATCAAGACATCTTCTTCCGCCTATCGTCAGACCTGAGAAATGTATGCTTTCATTTTTTTCTCTTTTTTATTTATTCCCTCAGGGTCCGAAGGCATTAAGCGCGAAACACATGTACGACGAAACCGTCCGATCCGACGTGCGGACTGCCGGAATGACCTTGGGGGGAGAGGGTTTTCGTAGCATCGGAGAGCGTGGAAAACCCTCGCCTCCGACCGTCGTATTGCGCGGTCGGACGTCGGATCGGACGGTTTCGTCGTACATGTGTTTCGCGCTTTATAGAGGGGAGTGGACACACACATCTAATTGCACACAAAGACAAAACAGTAATTAGGCAGGTAAGCATAAAAAACCAAAAACAGAACATTGCTAAAATAAAACACTGTCAACCAAAATTAAAAAAAAAAAAAAAAATATTCGCAGTGTGCAGCTTTGAATCCGGCACTTTTGGGCTATGTTGGCAACAGGTGCGGGAAGGTGATTCCATTCCAGTGATGTCATGGGTACGAAAGACTGATGAAAGCTTGAGGTGCGACACTGAGGGATGCCAACTTTATTTTGATGGTCGAAACGTGATGAGACGTATGATGGTTGTGTTAACAGATGTTGAAGAAGATTTGCATTATGGTGGTAAATTTTATGAAATAAACGTAGATGAGATATTTTTCTTTGTAGGGAGAAGTCAGGCAAAACAATTGCTTGGGGTATTTTTCATTGCTTTTACGCTAGATGTGCGATGATAATTACGTAGTATGAATCGAACAGAACGGTTTCGAGCAGCTTCTAATGATAATGCAAGCGTTACACCGGGGTCGCAGATAGCGGAAGAATACTCAAGTTTACTGCGGACCAATGATTTGTAGAGAAGTAGTTCTAAGGACGGTGGGGCAAGAGAGAAGTTCCTTTTTAGAAAGCCCAACATGCGGTTAGCGTTTTTAATTATATATTCAATATGAATGTTCCATGAAAGGCTGTTAGTGATATGAACACCAAGATATTTATATGAGGACACGGATTCCAGCTCAACAGTTCTTATATGGTACGAGGGACATGTATTATTTTGACGTGATACTCTCATGGATTTGCACTTGTTAATATTGAGTTCCCTTTGCCATTCATCACACCAACGAGAAATACTGTCAAGGTCAGACTGGAGTGCGAGAACGTCAAAATCGTTAGTTACTTCAGAATATATGACACAATCGTCTGCGAAGAGACCAACTCAGGATGAGATATGCGAAGGAAGGTCATTAATATATATTAAAAATAAAAGAGGGCCGAGTACTAAACCCTGGGGGACACCAGAAGTCACAGGAGAGGGGTGCGAGTTAATGCCATTACCATGAACAAATTGAAAACGGTTAGTTAAAAAAGCGTTGATCCAAATCAAAACATGAGAGTCAATGTTCAGTTTACTGAGTTTATACAAAAGGAGCCTATGTGAAACCTTGTCAAATGCTGTCAACCTGAGAGGAACGATCG